TCAGCGAAAGGGTGCCCAAGAGGATCAAAGAACTGCTCTCAGTGGAAACAGGTTGTAACGACGGCACTAGCTTTCCTTTCCTGTACATCGGACTGTTCCTGCTCACGAAATCGTCCGTTGGCGAGGCTATCAAGGAATGGTTTCTCATCACCATACTCTGGCAGTGCGCATTCAGCATCGTCGTTGGCGTCTCAATCGGTACGGCGTTCAATAGGATCCTGAGATTCAGCGTCAAGCATGAGTACGTAGCCCGATCTGGCTTCTTGACCTTCTACCTGCTGCTGGCCCTCCTCAGTGTCGGCATTGGCAGCATCCTGGGCGCTGACGACTTTCTGGTGTCCTTCGGATGTGGTTATGGCTTCTCTCGCGACGGCTGGTTCAGTGAGGAGACCGCAGAGACAAAATTACCACAGATCATCGATCTGATGCTCAACAGCGCCATGTTTGTCTACCTGGGTGCCATCATACCCTGGCAAAACTTCGCACCACAAGAACTTCAACCGTACGTCACGATTCCACGTCTGCTCGCATTTGTGGTTCTAGTGCTGCTGCTTCGCAGAATACCCGTCATCATGGCTCTTTATCGCTTCATTCCACATATCCACACCTGGCGCGAGGCATTCTTTTGCGGTCACTTCGGTCCTATGGGTCTAGGTGGACTGTTTCTTGCCATCGAAGCTCGCGCTATACTGGAGACAGGGACTGCTGAGCCACTGCCGAAGCCAGATATAGGAGAACCACCATGGACACCACGAGAGAAGGCATTGCAGATCGTCTGGCCGATTGTGTGCTTCACTGTCATGAGCTCGACGCTCGTGCATGGTTTGTCTGTACTGGTGCTCAGCATTGTTGGCCATTTCCGCAGGCCAAAGGACAAACGAGCTGCCTTACTCGCCGGCGAGACAGATCCTCTTGTTGGCATGAATCACGACGACGAGGATTCAGAGGAAGGCTATGGTGCAGTGGACCACAGCCAGACGTCATAAGTGCCAAGAGAGCCGCAGTCTCTGAAGCATCATTTCGTTCGTATGAGCATACATGTGCCACAGCTACAGCAAGGCAACAAATGTGTGCACTCTGGCAGAGCGTACATGAATATTCTGCAGTAGCACATCACAGCCACAATCGATTGGTATTGGGCACGTAGCTCGGAGGGTATGACGACTCAATATCTACTTTCAAGCTTCCAAGTGGGATGTGAGCTGCTCATAAGCTTTCTGCTACTGACCACCCCTGGTCAGAATCCTCGAGCTGCTGTATGCCCAACGCATACGCCACTTTCACAAGCGAAACATTTCTCCCGATCGTCAAACAGAATGCTCGCGTGCTGCTTGGTTCCGAGTGCATAAGACACGGTGCTTCGTCTCGCTACTTCCACCCAGCGTGCTTACATCTCTCCGTTGTGAGACGATTTGATACTGCGGCAATACTTCAACTTCCTAACCAAGACCTGCAAGCTCAGATGTCAACGATGAATGAAGATCGCCTATACGATCCCATCATCTAGCTAACCTTGCAGGAGGTGAAAACGACGTCCGCATACCCTGCAGCTATCGAAAGCATCTATATTGCTCGCTACACCTAAGAACGACTCGACACTCCATCGGAATAACGAGGCGAGCTCGTTGCCTTATCATCGACTACCGAGTCCTTCTCCCTACGCACCAGACAATTCCAGCATTACGAGATTGTCACCAGCCCGACAACATGGCTATTGTCACAGCGTTCTCTGCCTCCGTTCACTCAAACTCCTCCACTCAAATTACAAAGCCACCACCACAAGAGACGGATGGAATGCTCAAATCTGTGAAACCACGACTGCAACTGAGCACAGTGGACAAGGCTGTCATTACTGTCTCTTGCCCCTTCTGTCAGGACGATTTTGCACAACCTGTATTCTTTCTGGACCACATGAGATCTGATCGATGCTGGAGCCTACCAAATGGTCAGCTTCATCCTACTAAGCAGTCCTACATTGGACCAAGCCAAGGCATTGAGCTGGCCCTATTCGCAGCTTGGAATCGAAGATGCCTCACAACTGGACAGCTCTCAGAGTTGAGAGCACGACTCTATGGATTGTATTTCGAGGCCAAGGATGGCTCTAAACATGCCAGGCTTAGACTGCATATACTTGAGAAGCAGTCATCCTCTGCCATTTGGCAGATTGCTGCAGAACAGACACTACATGTGTCGGTACTTCTGTCTCCATCAACGCCCTTAATAGAGAGCAAGTACTCCTCGAAAGCATTTCACATCATCATGCATGAGCGAGCTAGAGAAGCAAAGCATGGAGTTTGTGGGACCTGGACTCCGACCAACAAGCTCTCGTTGATTGACCACCCACCTCTACAGCTTGAAGACGTTCCTCCTCAGACAACTACTGATACCCTGCGTGACGTTCACGGCGTGCCCAGTTCGGCTCTTGGAGCGATCGAGGCAGCCTATGTGAGCGACACACAGCTAAATCTGGCTTATTCTACCCCAGCAGTATGCTCTTCCTCTTTAAGCCAGTCAACGACATATCAAGACCATACGAAAGCCACTGCCAGTTGCTCGGATGCAGTCCCTAACACAGCATGTCCACCATTGCCATCGATAAACACCCACAAGCCTTGCGACAATCCTCGCAGTTCGCATTCAGGAGAAGCTGCAACGCTGCCATATCGTGCATCACCGCACATGGTGACGTGTTCAGGGAGCACAAATGGCACGACAGGAGACATGTCTCATGGTACGAGCCCACAAGGCGGCAAGGCAGCCAGAAACGAGAAACGTTGCAGAAGTCCTTCAAGAGGAGACGACGGTGATGTAGGAGGAGCTGCGCATCAGGTTGGCGGCTCAGATGAAGGACGGAAAAAACGACGGAAAAAACCTACAAGTAGTTCTCTATATTGTTGCGTCATTTGTCCAGGGGCGACAGCTACGAATATCTCGGGTATCACAAGAGCCATAGAGAATCACCACGACGCCATCTGGTGCAACATCTGTCTCAGATATATTCAGATCATACCTCAGAACAACGACCCTAGGACTAAGGCCGAGCGCAAGGAAGCTACCCGAGAAGCACATCAGTACTGCTGCGATGTACACTATATCGACCCAGGAACCTACGAGATCTTTCGAACCCCTCATGATGGTGTAAAGACTTGGCAAAGGCTCAGTGACGTGCAGAAATATGTTCTTCTTTCACGCGAGGCACGACCGGGTAGCTCTCCGCCAGATCTCATCAGAAAAGCTTCCCAACCGGTGGATCATACGGAGACTAGACTTGTGCCAACACCAGTACAGCTGCCTAGAGCTCTTCATCTGCCGGTACATGTCGCTATTACGCCCACTACAAGCATTGAAGCAATTCAGAACAATCCAGAAACTAGTAATGTCGCAGATCAGGACTCGTATGTGTCACTTATGATGGCCCAATGGGAGATCGACGATCTCAGACAGCAGTTAAGAGATCGCCAGCTAACCTTGGAACTGTGTGCGGCACAACTACTGCACAGTGGCATGCCCATGGCCAATGCACTCTTGCAGCAAGCTACCCGGCACATGCCTAACGGTCCACTGTCTCTGTTGGACAACATGTCCGATGGGCAGAGAATGGCTGCCACCTCCGCCGTACCGATGGCTGCCGGAGTCGCCCTGCAACCAAGGCAAGCAGACGAACCATTCACTGGCATGATGCAGTCTCAATATCCTGCCGTAGTCTTGCCGAGTGCTGGACCATCGACTGATGCCTCGAGAAGGACTGGTCGAACGACTACCTCTAATGCCGGGATGGTCACAAGCAGGACTAGTCTGGGCTGTTCGCAAGATCTGTCTGACCATTGTTGAGCTGATCTTTCCTCAATGCAAGGTTATCGAAGTGCCTCGAGGATTCTCTACACAAATCAGGTCGGGGAGTTTCTTCTCACTGCGTCAAATTGACCGAAACAGACTGTTCAGGCACTCATGTCGTCACATCTTCGTGTTGGCAGCCATGTATCGTCGAAGGATGTTCAATCGCAAAGACAAACACTGTTGCCGGGTGAGCATACATTTGCCACCAATTCTATCAATCACCACGCAGCGCAGCATCAAGACACCTTCGACAGCTGTGATTAACAGCGCAGAATCACAAGCGCCATGCACCAATAACGCCTTCAGAATGTGGAACGCTACTACCGTAACAACTACGAGCTGGACAACATCACTCTGCTGGACGGATTGGCACGACGATCGAAGGCGTCTGCTAAACCACGCAATTCAATTCCAATGTGTCCTAATCACACGAGGACTGAGGCTGCGCAATACGGAGTTGTCTGTTCACGACTGCCACCGACAGATGATCTGGATCTCGAGGGAAACGACATGAGCTAAGTTATGGACGATCTCGATCAGTGATCCACCCTGCGGGCAGGGTCCGACTATGAGAGCGTCGTAGAAGCCTCTGGCAGTGCATCTAGACAACCTCATGACTATGGAGCAAAATGTACCCTCGATGGTACTCTCCAGACGGTCGGAACAGAAGCGACAAACATAGGAATGTTTGATACTTCAGTGTATCCTCTGCTACCGTACGGCGCAGGTGCAATACCTGGTACAACCACACAGGCCATTGTATCAAAACAGCTGAATAAGATGCTGAAGCAATCGGCCAAAATGGCACACTTGTCCGAGAGCAATGCGACGTGGCTGCATGCCATGTTGGACAGCCTCCCTGGACAGGATGAAGAGGTCGATGGGTTCACGGAGCTTTACAACGATAAGCATGGTCGAGCGATAAGGAACGTTTACGAGGTCTTTTCTTTTGGCGAACTCGAGCATGTTATGTTGCCGGTTCGCTGTCTCGATACAGGCTTGGCATTCTGTTTCCTTTCGTCCTTTTGAAGCATAGATATTCATAAAAGCGTGAATTGAGAGCTGCGCCTCTATATGCTATCTCTGCTGGCTGGAAGCCCATACCTGCCTGGGTTCCCTTATGAAGCCTCGCAACAAAGTGGTGCCTTGTGTGAACAAAAAATCGACCGCGACGAGACTCGAACTCGCAATCTTTGCCACCGGAAAGCAACGCCTTGCCATTAGGCCACGCGGCCGGAAAGAATTGCGGGAGCAGCCGTTGATTGATTATGTCGCTCGCCTCAGCTGCTGTCCTCCCTCCGCCCGAGGGTCGCCACGCAATGACATGACCTCAATGATGCCGATCAGTGTAGGAGACAGGTTCGCTATTCTTTCTACAGTCTCAGCTCCTACACAACAATCATGACTGCTCAATCATTCCGTGAGATCGTAGGTGCATCTCCATCGAATGCCTCCGCTAAGGACTCTGTCCTGGTCATCATCGACGCCCAGAACGAGTATGCGGAAGGCAAGCTGAAGGTGACGAACGCAGCATCATCCAGGAAGGCGATCGCTTCGTTGCTCGACAAGTACAGGAAAGGCGGCGGCAAGGTTGTGCACGTCACACATAGCACGCCGGAGGGAGCACCAGTCTTCACTCCAAATACTGATCTGGCGACGGAATTCTCAGAGCTGCAGCCAAAGAATGGCGAGAAGACGATCTCGAAGCATCACCCTTCTTCCTTCGCCGATACCGATTTGGGAGAGTACCTCAAGAGCACTGGGTTGAAGAAGGTCGTGCTCACTGGCTATATGGTAAGTCTATGAAGTAGTTTTGCGGCGTTTGCTGACTGTCAGGCTCATGTTTGTGTATCAACGACGGCAAGAGACGGAGCTCGCTATGGTTATGACGTCCTGATTGCCGAGGATGCAGTTGGTGATCGAGATATCCCTGGCGCCTCTGGCGCAGAGGTCACCAAGATGGTGATGCACGAGCTTGGAGATGCGTTCGCCACGATCATTCAAAGCAGCGATGTGAAATGAAGCTCAGATATGGCAGCTAAGCTGAGACAGCAAAGGCCTCGAAGTGCATTGCAACGACTAAAGTAGGTCGTATGTAGTCCACGATGTATCTGAGGAACCCAGGACGTCTGAGGTCCACTGCGAATGAGAAGGATTTGCCTTCGTTTCTAAAACCAATCTTGCGCATCGTTCCCATCAATGAGTGTTGTGAAAGGATATGAAGAAAGCTGAAGCAACCGTGGTATGTCTGGCAAGAGCGCGAGCAGCTCGTCGATTTCCGAGCGACGCAAGACGCTTTCGATGCTCGTCCTTCTCGAAAAACAAAAATCTTTTTATCTCTCCATTACAACGCCATGCTAATAAACACAATGATTCCCATGTTCTTTTGGTTGTTACGAGTGAAAGCAGAAGAGTTGGCGAGCCAGTGCAAGGTGTCGTCGCACGTATTACGCTCGCCGCATGATGATGAAGAAATCCAGTCTTGATCCTGTTGAGCCATGCTAGTAGGGTAGGAAAAGTTGAAAACGCTAATGTCGAATTGAAAGCAATTTGTTCATGATGTGCAGAGAAGCAGAGGTATACCGGAAGTGGGTGCACCTATCCCATGACAGTGCCCATGTTGTAGCCGTAAGGTCGCCAGTTGCGATATGCACAGTTGGTGCAGCCGCAGTCAGAGCGGTGCATGTTGTTCCAGCCATAGTGTTCCCATGGGACGTAGCCAGGCGCGGCAGCTGCTGAGTATGGAGCATTTGCCAAGGTCTGGTACGCCGAGTGTGAGACTGGATAGCGGGATTGGAACTGCTCTTGCGAGCGGCGGTTGGCGTCGTCGATGTCGGTCAGCGTAGGATATCGGTTGATACTGCCAGAGCGCTTGTAGTAGTCCTCGAATGGTGATGCTCGCTGTGTTGGTGCCCATGGATCAACTGCACTGTAAGGAGTATTCGTGTATTGTGATCGAGCAGAGTTGTCGAACGTGCGGCTTGACATAGTCGAAGAGCTGTACGGTGACGGATATGGCGAGTAACGAGTACGAGAAGCATCGTGACGACGAGCAACACTGGTATCGAGAGCCGAGAGGCGTACGCCGTGAACGCTGCGCTCCTTGTCGAACTTGACCCAGAGGTCTGACCATGTTTGTACACACGAAGCGTCGACGTGTAGGTTATACTCAATCAGACGCAGCCATTTAAGCTCGAGTATGTTCAGCTCAGAGACCTTGATCGCAGTGACATCAGACCAGGAGCGGTTGATGAAGGTGTTGTCGTCGAGGAACTTGCTACCAAGAATCAGACCGACTGACAAGAGTCTGTAGATCTGGTTCTCGCCTGTTGGCACCGAGTCAGGAAAGACCTTGAGGCGGTCGCTGAGGTAGTGTAGTGACAAGAGGATCGTAGCTGATGGCAGTCGAGTAGCCGAGAGGACTTGGTGCACCCATTTTCTAAAAGCTGGCGGGCTTGATACGTTCTGCTGGAAGCTTCGAGTGATGTCAATATCCTGCAAGCAGATGGGTGAGAGGTGAAGATCATACATATGCTGAGTGGTGGAGACCACGAAGTCGGTCATGCGATCCATATCATAGTCCAACTTTGCCGACACTCCTCCTGTAGCTTTCTCCTCCTTGACAGGCTGCGAATCGCGCGAAAAATCGTACTGAGACATGCGATAGTCGTCATAAGGCAGTCCGTCCTGCACACGGATAGGTGGCAGAATCGGTGCGCCTACTGGCTCGTAGTAGCTCGAGATTGATGGAAGTGTGGTCGGCGCGGCTTGATACATGCTTGGCTGGTAGGCAGCTGAGTATGGTGGCGCAACTGGTGCCAGCTGTGGTGGCATGTAGTTATGGTAGTCGTAGGCCATGTCGCGCTGGGCGTACTGCTCCCGCGGATAGTGCATGCTAGAGTATGCATATCCTGAACCAGAATCGGGCGGCGTGAGAGGAAGTTGACTCGAAGAGTCTCGCGGGTGGTATGCCATGATTGCGCGTGAGGTTGGGAGTGCAAATGCACTCAGCTGCTGCAGCGACCGCTTCGGCAATGGCGAGCAGTATGTATGTGTGAACTCCTGCTCTTCTTCGCTCTCAATTCATCAGAAAAGTCGATTTGCGAATATGCTGATGATGGTGTGTCTGAGCGCAGAATGCGAAATACTGCGTCGTGAATTATGTATGTAGTGATGGATTTCTCAGTCACTTCACTCGAGCGTGACGTTATTTCTCCCAGGTCGAAATCAGTCAAGATATCTAGGTGTCCTAAAGGAGATCGAGCGCAAGGACGGAACTAAGTGAATAGGTCGTCCTGACAGGCGTTTGTTGATAGGTTGTCTTGCTTTTGCGATGTTTGCCTTGCGTCAAAGTGAAGAAATTGCGTCGCGCGGGTGATGTGTGTGTGACGGAAGGGTCGGTTTGATCCTTTTGTCGCCCAGTAGACTGGAAGGTGATGGAAGGAGACGCCGGAGATGGCGAAATAGAAGACCTTCTTGGGGAGAAGGGGGATAGAGCGATGAAGGGGGAGGGAGAGCAGAAGGGCGAGATTTGCAAGCAGGGTGATTGGGCGCGCGCGGGCTTTGGCACAGAGGATTTGATGAGTGACAAAGCCTGCGCTGGTGATGCAGCGCTGCGCCGACCGAAAACACCTTGCAAATCAAAAGCCTTCCTTTTCTCACTTCCGCACGCTGTCCTCGCCTATTATGCCGTGTGGTGGGATTGGTTGTCTTGCCGGTTTTCTTTGGAATGCGCCTCGTTGCTATTGTTCTAGGATTCCTTTGCATGCATCGAAAGGAGAGATACTCCGAAGCACATGCTGCCACGTACGATGACTTCTACACACGATGTAGTCTTCACTGCTCGCATCGATGATGCCCAGTGCAGTAATGCCTACCCTTTAATTTACTACATCACCATGTGCGGATATGGCCGGCACCTACGAACTCTGTAGCTGTGCAGTGACCAACAAGCCGTTGAAATCTCTGCTAACCCAAGCTGACGTACAATGTCTACACCCACACACATGCTGTTGACCTGTTGAAGAGCTGTCAGACATTTGACAGATTGCCACGGACGTTGAGTGCCATGTCTTGCCTCGCTGTGATCAATCTCATGCCTACGAGTGGTAGGACCACTTCATGCATCGCCAAGGTGACAGTGCTGACGGACTAGGGGATCATGATGACGTTGACCAATAAACGTACGTCCGTTGTTGGGATTATCAGCATGCCTCGAAAATCCTGCTGCCATTTGAAGGACGTACGGCATGGTGCCGATGGTTTGTGAACACATATGAGGAGGTGGATCCAAAGGTTTCATGTGTGAGAAGGACTGTGCATGCCCGTTGTCGTCCCTCGATCTGCATTACTGCCCATGCACGGCGGATCGTGGTCCGAATCTGCAACGCAGTTGTAATGACGCTCATGGATACTTTTCTCGCCTGCGACTATACGACACTTCGTTCTTGATCTCTTGCCTCGATCAAGTGCGCTGTCGTGATGATCCTCGGTACATGCTGCCAAAGAATGACGCATCGTCTGCTCCTGAATATTTGCCAGCAGGGAGATCGCGGCCTTGAAATAACACCATACAGTGTGGAGTACGCTCTTGCAGATACCTTGGCATCTTGCTTCAGAAGTGGTAGGACAGTGTGACCATGATGGCGCACGCATGCTAGAGTTTATAGCCTGTCTTCCGAGCTGGAACCTTGACGGAAGTTTAGAGACATGACGGTGCTGTAGGTGGCTTAGCAGGCAGCGGTCACCTGTAGATCTATTCAGTCAAGGGCCATACCTCCGTTTTGCCGGTCAGGATGTTGCTCGTCATCGAGGCTTGCGCATACAGAAGAGAGCTTGCCAGCGCGATCTTGGAGCCATATCGTTGCCAGAGGGTGTCTTGGGCGTCTTATGGTCGGCGGAACATGCTCTCGAGCTTCGTATGTCACTCAGAAGCACATCAATCGCGAGTTGACCTGCGGACCTGCCAACGTCCGTACGCGCAGAGACCAACAAGCCGTGAAGTCGACGACAAGTTGCTGATGAAAGCTGCTATTCATGTCAGTAACACAAAAGAAGTGAAACTTAACTGGCGAGATGTCTGCACATGGGTTTCAGCAAGTCTGCTGTGAGAGGTCGTGCACAAGCGACAATAATCTGTCGTATTACATGTAGAGAGTGCTCTTCGGACAGCATCTGGACCATCAGGATCTACTGACTGTCTATACCGTTGTAGTCGCCTCATCTAATCGAGGAT